ACTGGGAATCCGACCTATACTGACTTGATCGTCGGAGTGCTCACCTTTTTGTGCAGGTCCGCCCAAGTATTCAGATCGGTCCGGAGGCCGAGTTCGAGCTGCAATCTGAAATACACTGTTGTGCATATCCTTGCATAAACAATATGCATGTGGAGACAGGTTTTCTTTTCGGGAGAAATAACACATCCAAGTCGAAGGGCAAATCTGCAGATGCTGGATATGATTCATATCCAGCACTATAGACATAGCCTTATTGATGCTCTCTGTTTTGATTTTTTGCATTTGTTCTTTCTTTCTGGTGGAAGGAATCTATAAAGAAGGGAGAGTCAATAATTTACTGTGAAAGTGACTGTTGTGAAGGAAAATAAAGTCTCATGAATTATAAAACTGAAAAATGTTCTTTTGTTTTGGATTCCAAAGAAGCCTCGATCAAAGAGACTAACCAAAAAAGCTAAGATGAAATCAAAAGTTGATTCCCCATTACCCTGTCTTCTTCAACCCATTCTCATCTTTAGTAATAGAACACATCCACTCTGAAACTTCCCCATAGAGAGGATAAAGGAAAGAAGATGCAGAAAATCCAGAATTTTCATCTTCTACAGTCTCTTCTGCCTCTGAATTTCTTCTTGTTCTTTGGTTGTTCCATTTCCCAGAAAACTGACCCAACTTCTTGTGGGAAATTCCAAATTCAACCCCCTTTCCTGAGTTCCCCATTGAACCATATGATCCTCTGCAGATCTCAGAAACTGTATTTCAGAACTTCAATTGGCCTCTTCCCCATCTCCTCCATTGATTACTCTACCAGAACTCTGATAATCTCTCAGTTTCCTTCTTCTTATTCTTCTTCCTCCACCCATTTTGTTTCCCCTTCACTTCTATCCTCAGGGCTTCCTTCTCCACCAGACCTCACCAACTCACTCCTCCTCTTCCACTGCTCAAACCCAACAAAACCCATCTCTGAATCTGCCAAAACCTGCACCCACTTACCCAATTTTGGAGCTTCACCCAAAACATCTTGTTTGATCCTTGACGATCTAAGAAACCTGAACCACAGTTTCCATCCAAATGACATGAATTGCTCCCATTACACAAGGGTTTACAGAAACTCCTCAGATTTTGAGCTCAGAAATGGGTATAAATTGGGAACTACGATCTCTTTTGACATTCCTGATCATGTTCCTAATCTGTGTAACGAGTGTGGGAAGCCTGGTGGGCACTGTGGGGTGGGTTTGAGATGCATATGCCATGTTCTTGAGTGCAGTAAGTTTCTTATTCTCTCTCACCTTCTCAGAACTCTTCACTAGAGAAATTTCCACTTTTTTCTTTGACATTTGATTTGGGACTCTGATATTTACTGATTTATCTATGATTGTGCAGAAGATAAGGTGTTTTCTGAGGGTGGGATTGTCAGCCCTGGTGGAAAATTTCTTCTTTATTTGTTGGCTGTTTTAGTGATGATCATGTAGTCATTGTAATCAGTGCAAAAGAAACTCTTGTAACTTAATTCAGTGATACATATGTATATTTGATATTTCTCTTTGCAGCTTGTAGTGATGAATACTTTGTTGATACTTGAGATTTGTATTTGCTAAATCCATAGGTCTCAAGGATACACTGTGAAGGTGGACCGATGCTCTATTTACTTTTTGACATGATTTATTTACTTTGGTCTATATATATTACATTTAATGAATGAATCAATTTCACTGTATTTTTTGTCAACTACAACAAATGAACCACTCCAAAAAAGTAGGTAGGAGTTCCTATTTACAAACGTGGAGTGAAACTAGGGTAGATTCTAATCGAGCTCAAGAATCGGAGAAGATCGATAAGATTGAGCTTGTGAGAAAAGACTTGCACAAAAGAAGCAAACACTTCTGATGTTCAAGTCAATGAGAGTTCGATATAAGATCTCAAGTCGAGGTTTAAATTGTGTAATTGGAGTAGAATGGTGAATGAGTTAGATGATAGTGACGTTGATCTTAGCTCCTTTAAACTTGAAGAGAAAAAACTCAACATAGAAAAGATTTGCTAACTCAAAAAATTCGATCAAGTCAATTCGAATTTTGGGTTAAGTTTGATTTTGAATTTAAGTAAATTTCTGGATTAATTTGTGGTTTTTATAGAATTAGTTTAGATGGAATCAAATCAAATTTATTAAATATAAAATATCTATATAATTTCTAAGGCGATGTGTCCCCTAAACAAATTTTCAACTCATTACTAATTACATTGGATTAAAACATTTTATTTTAGTTGCTGAATTTTATAATATACCTACTCTCAATTTAATTGTTAAGAGTACATTCGCTATATAAATAAATCGAGCTTAGTACTAAATTTGCGGATCTAATTTGAGAATTTAGTTATACATATTTTTTGGAAATTAAAACTTAAGAGACCAAAACAATATATTTTATAGAACAAATATCTAAATTAAGTGAGTGTAAACTTCAAAAATGATATAGAATTTAATTACCAAAATGGGTAGAAACCTTTTATCCACATACACGATGGAATTCTCTGACAAATTATTATAGTTTTGTGGAAATTTACTAAAAAAATCTGACAACTGGATGAACCCGAGATGAAGTCTTGGGTTGGGTTGGGTCTCGGATTCAACCTTTAAAAAATTAGGTCAACCAAATTCAACCCGAATTTATGTATATTTTTTAATTATATATAATATTTTTTTTCCTTAACGTCAACCGTCCATTTAGTTTTAATCCTAGCCATTTATTTAAGGTTTTCATATTATCTTCTTCTCTTAATTTCATTCGTCCATTTAGTTTTAATCCTAACTCCCCGTCACCGCAATAATTAAAAATAAAAATAAAACAACCTGACAACCCAACTCCAAACAATTGGGTTGGGTTGGGTTGAGTTGGGCTGACCATCCAATTCAAACCTGACGGTTCCTACCCAAAAATTTGAGTTGGTCTCAAAACCACTCCTAACCTGATCCAACTCAACCCATAAACACCTCTAACACAAACATGTTAAAAGTGTGAAATATCCTATATGTCCCTAGATCAAGGGGCATTGTATATCAATTTAGGGGGTTAGAATTCTCTTTTGCTTTATTTCATTTTCAATCATTCCATTTGACATGCTAAAAAGTAAAAACTATGGGGACAATGTTAGGTATTGGGCTTGAGTTGGGCTTGTAAGTCCATTTTCAAAGGCCCATATGAGAGTTGCAAAATTGCCCCTGATGGTCTATTGGCAATTAATCGGGTTGGTTCCATATACTAATATAGGTGTTCATTTGTTGGATATATATATATATATATATATATTTTTTGAGTTAAATGCCGTAGTTCAAACTTTCGACTTTTTAGTCGATGATATATTTCTTAACCATTAAACTATGTAAAAATGCTTTGTGAGGAACCACGTGTATTTGAAAGTAACATAAAAATATTTTTATAAAAAGCCATAAATACCTCAAAGTGCTTCGTGAGAAACCACAAATAGAATACTTTTGGCTTATGTGCTTGGTTGGAAACCAAGAAAAACACACTTAGCCTTTGGTTTGATAACCCTTTTGTTTTTTAAAATTGAGCTGGTAATTTGTTTTGCATCTACTTTTTTGAATTTCTTTTTCAAAATCTAAGCCAAAATTTTAAAAACTAAAAAAAGTAATTTTTAAAAACTTGTTTATGTTTTTTAAATTCGACTAAGAATCTTGACGCATTTTCGAGCAAACAAACATAATTTTCAAAAAAACTAAAAACTAAAACAAAATGATTAACGAAGAGAGTTTTAATAATTTAGAATTAAACATTAAAACAATAATAGTACTTTTACTTAAAAAGCACTCCCAAAAGCATCTTCATTTCCTCATTGCTTTGAATTATTTCAATTAGAACATAATTCGTGTGACACTTAATAAATTTATTGACTTTTCCGTTGCTAAAATTTGTAAATATCACACCAAATTTCTTGATGTCTAACTTAATAATTCGATACCATAGAATTTAATAATATTCAAAACTCCCAACAAAAAATCATTAAGTCAATAAAGTTAGGCATGTCATAATGAATTCTATTTTATGTTCAATTTATACCTAAAGGTACCAAAAAAATCATCCTTGTCTACTTTTATAGGTAGATTTTCATAATTCCATCTAAAAACTGTGAATCATAACGAGAAAGAAACAAACAGATTCTTTTTTATTCGTCACGAATATGAACAAATAAAATTTAAACTCTTATAAACCATTGAAAAGCATGAAGAAATGGAACTTAAAAACTCCTAAAGAGCAATAAACAAATATTTTGGATGTAGACATGCATTAAAAAGTTGAGAAAGTAAAACAAAGTAATAGAAATATTATTATATAATGTGCATTTAAAGATAGCATAGAAGATTCAAATTTTTGTAGCTTAACAAACAATCCATATAGACTTTTTGGCACTTTGTCAAGCGTCATACTCAAAGACCTCTTTTATAATTAAACAAAAAAAAGGAAAAAAAATCAAACTTTCCACTCTTTGCAATTGAACTAATTTTCATATAGTGCTTAGGATGCTCTTATTTTCTACCAAATCCATCACAATCAAAGTAAAATTTGGTTAACTTCCATTAATACAATTAGGCAACATTCAACCTAAATGGGACCTTCATAGATTTTGTGATGCACCTAACTTTCATATATATTAGTAAATTTCATTTAAACATTTTTCTATTAGGTAGAAATATTTTTTCGTTCTGCTTTCAATAAATTGTTTTTCGTTTTGCATACTTGAGTAAATTTTTGTCTTACTGCTTAAAAACTTCATCGAGTGGGAACTAGGTAAGTAGTCAATAACTCATCAAGGCAGACTAATCGAAAAACTCTCAAAGGTGTTAAAACTAAAAGCAGGCAAACAAGCCAACCAACAAGGAAAAGAGAAGCTCTCGGGATTTGAGGAAAGCCATAAACAGCATATCGATATCCTTGGGCTAGTGCAGCTTGAGGAGAAGATAGGCAGCTCGACTACTCGAGGAAATGGCTAAAAAGGCTTAACTGAAAGGGAAAGGGTAGGGTTAGGAAGGGCCTTATCCTTAGCTTCAAGATCTCAGTTTGCACCAACCAGGATTTCAGTTCTCACCAGAAGCACGGGAGATGCCCGCTTCTAGCTCGAAAGAACTGCTCACTAGCTAGCCGCGGAATAAGCAGTCTTGGTGCTTTGAGCGTGACAATAGTCTGAATGTGCTTTCCTAGCCTTTGGCTATTCTTAATCTGATCTTGCCAGGAAAAAGGGCATCCAACCACCGAGCGATAAGAACAAGCAGGAGTTGTCCTATCTTTAACACCAGGCGTTTGACTTGACCTTCCCCAGCTCCAGGGACCCAAATTTGTCCTATTCATGAGAGCTTGCTTCGTGGAAGAAAAAGCCGAGAGACTTTAGAGGCCTCCCTTCCCGGATCTAAAAGAGGTTCCAGTAAAGGGAATTTATTATTGACCAACCTTGAAGTCTCGAAGAGGAAGAGGCCACCCACTGCCCGAATCATTGTAGCAAACCCGCTTCTCCAGCTCTCGCAAGAATTGTATGGGAGCCGTCTTCGGAGGGACTTCTCAAATGATTGTACCAGGGAATTCTACCGCACTCCGCGTAGCTATTGTTGTTGTTCCTGCAAAGCCTACCCAAAGGTTCAGGCCAGATTTTGGTGGTATAGAACTTTTAAAAAGCCTAATAATAATCAAATCATATCTCTCTACTTTATTCCAAGAACAAAGAACATCACGCACTCGCAAATAATTTATTATGAATATTGTTGTTGTTGTCTTTATAATAATAATCATTGTCTTACTATCTAAATCGAATATTTTGATTATTATTTGGCTTGCGTTACAAATTATAAATGTTTGTGTTTTTCTTTAAAATTCCACATTTTGTTTTTGTGATCTTTTTCGTTAATGTTAATAAAATGTTGTTTATGGTAAGTAGTAATATTAGTTTGTTTATATATTTTATATGTATTATTTTATATATCAATTTAATTTATATTAAATTTAAATGTTTTAAAATCAAATTACAACTCAGGTACATTATTGCTAACAAAAACATGATTTAGTGAATAAAGTATATATTTCTTCTCTTGTTGGAGGTTCAGGTCCCGATCCCATATTTGTTATACTAAAAAAACAAAAAAATCCTAAATATATATATACATCAAAGAACAATAACTCAATATTTGGATCTACTGAGTAAACTTGATTCATTAAAGTACTTTAAGGAAAAAATTCAAATAAAGATTTATAGGTATAAGAAATCCATCATTTTGTTTTGTTTTAGTTAGATGATAAAATATTAAGGATGTATTGTATTGACATACAAGATTACCACTTTGAATAGAGTAATTTGTCGTTTCAAAAGGTTTTTTTTCTTTTTTAATTCATTAAATTCCTGTTAAAGAAAAATAAATAGTGGTATCGGCAGTTATTTCTTATTTCTCGTTCTATCAAATTTAAATTTAAAATGGAAAACTAATGTTTTACATGAAAAATAATTTTTAAAAATAAAATATTAAAAATAGTTATGTTATATTTAATTTTTTATTATTTATTATACATTTTGTAAGTAAAAACAATGACAAAATAACT